CCTCTGGGTGTGTCTCTTTGATGACTTCCTTTGCCCAGTCTTTGGCCATGGAAGAGGTCCACCACCTTCACAGGTGCATTTGGTGGGGACACAGGAGAGGGCCTTCTCTGTTGCTGCTCCCAGACTCTGGAACTCCCTACCACAGGAGCTCAGGCTGGCCCTATCTATGCTGTCCTTCTTCAAGCGGACAAAGACTTTTTCTTCAGGCAAGCTTTCCTTCAGTGACTGGCTGCCTCAGTGGCGTTTGTAAATGGATGGTTGTGCTTTACTGCTTTGAATGTGGTTTTGGTTGCTTTTATTTACTGTCTATTAGTGATGGTATTTGTTTGATCCTTTTTACTATTTGTATACTTAATGTTTTAGCTTTTAATATTGTCCTTCAGTGATATACACCATCTTGGGTCCTTTCTAAGGAGAAAGGTGGGGTGAAAATATTCTAAATAAATAAAATAAATGTTAGGATTGTAGATGTAATCTCTTTACAGTAAATTTGGGGCTCTGGGTAGAGGACTCCAAACTTCCCAGCACTTGTACAGTGGTGGCCAGAAAAATGTCACCCATTACTCAATTAGAAAGTGTTAAATTGCTGTTTTAATGGTGCCTGCTCTAAAAAAAAAAAAAGAGCCTGTATTGGAGTCTTGTCGTGTAGCATATTGATGCTCTATTGCAATTATTTGTATTCAGTAATTGCCTGAAAACTTCCCTATGGTGAAAATTAAAGCCAACTAAGCCATCATTGGAACTGGATGCAAATTCTCAACTATTTCCAGCACTGAATCTCAGGAGAAAATTGCACTAAACACATCAAGAATTCTAGGTTCATTAAATGCATTATATTGCTGCCTAATCTTATCAATTATCTGTGCGTGAGAACAATCTGGGTGAATCTTTTCACTGCACATTTCATCCTCTCATCCATTGTTTCTTCTTCTACACACTTTAAAAAAGGATATGAAGATGGCATCAAAACCATATACAGTGGTGCCTCGCATAACGATTTTAATTGGTTCCAAAAAAAAAACACGTTATGTGAAACAT